GGAATATATACACATACATATATATATATATAATCAGAACTATCACTGGATTACCATTCTACCGGTAGTATAGGTATTACAAAATAATGTTGAATTATAAAGGGTCGACTTGACTCATTGTTTGGAGCGCGAATATGCTCGCCAGAACGTCCGTGATTCGAACCCGACTTCTGTCTAATCCTGGACAACCTGGCAGTACCCAAGCCCTTGTGCTCCCTTCGGGTGGCGTGGTAGCTAGGCACCAAGAGGTTGTTACAGCTGAACGATTATCTTATTTTATTATATTTAATACAGTAGGACCACAACTCAGTCGCTACATTCCATCCATAGTGGCTGATAAGTCATCTCATCAGGCAGATTAGTTCGAAAGCCGTCAGTCATACCAGGACTACAACTTTTCCCTATTGCCCCAAGTAAAGAACCAAGTTAGCGACTAACGAATCCTATCTACTCAGAGTGATTCACAACTAAAGTTTGAGAACTGTTCGAGAACCATGCAAATATTCGTTCGGGATGAATCAGTGACAGATACGGAATCGTTTTTGTGGAAATGGACACAGAACAGCATCTGCCCGTAACGGGGTTATATTTCGTCCGGTCACACCCATTGCTTCCGAAACTGTTCCAACCATTGGCATCAGCTGAATTTTCAAGGTGTCACAAACACATTGGATAGAAAGGAATAGCGTACGTCCAAAAGATGCATGTAGCACTACATCTCGAGCCTGGAAGCTGCTGTCGCATCAAATTTAGGCTACTTATATGGATCGGGAAGTAGCTGGAATACACAACTGTGATGTTTTGCATTACATCTGCAAAACAGGATGGAACGGTCTCAAAATCACTTTGTCCAGGCAATGTCTCACGATCTTTACCAGTGTCAACAGTAAATACCTTGCTGAATTCCACAAAGCAATGTGAGATTTATGGCTACATCAAGGTGAATTTCAGTGAACCCAACCAAGGAAATGCAACTGCACTCTGTTCGGCTGTAGCCATTCCTACATCGCATGGCCAAATCATAGTTTGCTACCTGGAATCTGTTTGCTGACAGTATAGGAGTGGAAAATGGTGCTTTTCGGCAGACCGACTAACTGTCGTCCACCTGTAGTGCAACTCGATGGAAGTGCGAGAGCTGAA